AAAACTGAAGGAACCACCCTTTGGTCACCGTTATGAAGGTCCAAACTATTTGTGAAAAATACGAATGATTCGCAAAACTCGGAACAAATACTTTGTTTAGCAACCTTATAAGACATATGCTGAAAATTCGTCGTAATTTCACAACGAAATTCTAGTGTCAGTTGCGAGAGCTGCGTCAGTTCCAAAGGGGTATATAACTCTTGAATTGGGTGTACAAATTTCGTGAATTGAATTAGCTTGAATTAGATTGAATTGGTAAACTTTCTTCTAAATTGGTTGGAATAATTGCGACTTTGTTTTTCTAAATTAGCGTGATTTGAACTGACTGAAATAGACATGAATCAAATGTTGTTTGTCTAAAATTGGAATGAATTGATTGAATTGGTTTGAATTATTTCTGAATTTTGTTGTGGTTTGAGTAAGATGAATTGGGCAGAATTATGGGTGTACACTTAGCAGGGGAGTTATTTACCCCTCGTTCAGTTAGAGAGGAAGCAACATCCTAGCTCTCTCTCTCTCCGTCCCTCTCCTCCGCCCTCACTCTTACTTTTCGCGTGGTAAGTCCAGCAAAGTAACCCCCTCCAAGACCGCCTTTGGCCAAACGCAGGAAGGACAGAAAAAAAAAATGAGCTCAAAGAAGGCCGTGCCGTTTGTTTGCCAGTTTGTGAGTCCTGGCCAGGCGAGCCGGGCGTGTGCCACTTCCGTGCCACCGGCCGTCCGGTCTGCCTGCGCCTTAAGCTGCGAATCAGGGTTCTCGTGTTTTTAAGTCCCGACTCCGGTCCGGTCCCGCAACGCTCGAGCCGCCAGGCCGTCCTGAACTGGGAAGTCAAGGCAAAGAAAGAAAAAAAAAATACAACGGCGCACCATCAAACACGTAATTTTACGACATACATACTTTTCTCCCTACAATGGCCCAGAAGTTTAAGCCACACGTAGAAGAGGCTTTTAAAAAGCCCGCGTGAAGTGCGGCTCAGCAACGGCAGGGCCTTGGGCTCGCCCTAGACGCTCAGCGGAATTGATTAAACATCACAGCAGGGAAGCATCTCGCCCGCAGCGGGCGATCGCATCACACTGGCGCCACTGTTGCCAACCAGTCGAAAGCGGTTCGGAAGTTAATCATAACACCCCTAGGATCGAGAGAAAAAAAAACGGAAAATCTGCGATCTATGCGATAATCTGACAAACAAGCAAATGGGACTTATATTGCAATCATTCGCAATTGTTTTGTTAAAAGATAATTTTATTTGAAAAATGAATGAACGGAAAAATACATGAAACCATTTTATGATGAACGAGACTCCATTGGTTTAGTATGGATTATTTGGGTTATTGTGGGTTATTTGGCGTGAAAGAGGAATTAAAACCAATACAGTATGCGTCAGCATGTGTTTCGCTCGCACCGAGCAGAGGTTTGCGCAAAGGGCCTGGTGGACATAGGATTACCATTGGCAAAGTGCAAACGAGCGAAATTCCGCCACACGCTCGGCGCGTCTACATCGCTGGCAGTTCATTTCGCATTAAATTTGTACCCCTCAAAGATTGTATGAGATATGCGACCCACAGGACTGGCCCCGTGCGCTACTGCTCAGTCAGCGCCCGCCAACCGCCAGCCGCACAGACAACTTTTGGCTCGGTAAAAGAAGAGGTAAAAAAAAGGGGAGAGAGCAGAGGAATATGTGCAGTGCAGCGGCGGCAGCAGCAGCGTCGCCTCGTACATTTTGGATGTCGGCGGCGTATCGCTGTCCACGTAGCGGGGCGGTGGTGGCGCGGCCCGGCGCGCAGAGTGCTTGGGGTTGGGCGCGCTGCGGCCAGCGCCCCGAGAGGAATTTGCATACATGATTAGCTGTCGCCCTGTCTCACTGCCGCGCCGGCGCGCCATTCTCTCCCAAAATAAGAAATTGCGCTGCGCGCTGATTATTTTTACATCCTGCAAGCGCGCGCGCATGTGTGTGTGTCTGTGGGGGAGAGAAAGGAGTAGAGATGAGCGAACATGTTCGCAGTCGAACGAACGCGAAGGAACAGCGAACAGCAGGTGAACAACCAGGGCTTGTTCGGTTCGAGTCGTTCGAAGAAAAAAAATTATTGTCCGTGTTCGTTCGAAGATTTTAAGACGAGTTCGTTCGCATTCGAACCGGCCTGTTCGCTGCTGATCTCTGGAAATGAGATAGGGGAGGGCCACAAGTATTTGGGAAAAGGGCAACCTTCGAAAGAATGTCTTTCAACAAAGCAAACACGAGTCACTCTGAGATAGAATGTGTCAGCTCTGATATAACTTTTTGAACACCAAAAAAAAAAAATGCATACAAAAGACCATTTGCATACAAATTTTGCACACAAAATATTTCTGCCCATTAAAACGTTTTGCAGTCTAACAAATTTTCGAATGTACTTTTTTGCGTGCAGGTACTGCTGGGCGGCGGGAGGCGCCACTTCCTGCCCAAGGTGGCGCGGGACCCCGAGGCGCCGCACGAGGAGGGCCGGCGGCTGGACGGCCGCAACATGGTGGACGACTGGGTCCGCGACAAGAAGAAGCGCGGCCTGCACGCGCAGTACGTGTGGACCAAAGCGCAGCTGCAGGCGGCCGCGGCCACCACGCCACCCTCGTCCTCCTCCTCCTCCTCGTCGTCGTCGTCGTCGTCCTCGACGGCCGACAACATCGCCGACCCCCAGCAGGCGAGCGGCGTCCCGCCCGGCGTGCCGGCGGCCGTGTCGACCAGCAACCAGCGACCGGACTACATCCTCGGTACGTTCTCGAGAAAATAAAAACTCGCCAATAACGCCCACCACCGCAGCGCGGCTTTTGTCCCAAAAAGCGGCGCGCATCGCCAATGCTTACGACCGCCGCCGCCTCTCCGCCGAGGGCGTCCAAGGGCTCCGCGGCCAACCTCATCCCTGTTGGGCGGCCGTTTCGCCCCTGATCCTACTCCTCTGGCCACCGCGCCAACAACCACCCCGCTATGAACAAGGCCAATTGTCAGAAAGCTTTTAAGCGGGGGTTGGGCTGCTGCGGCGGCCGCCTCGGGCACGCGAACCTGTCTCGCCTGGTTTACGCGGCAGCGCCCTCCGCCCTGGCCGCCGCCAAACAAGGCCACAGCCACGGCGAGGCGAGCCGCTGCGGGCAGCGAGTGTGCGAAGCGAGCCGGAGCCGGAGGGCGGAGGGAAGGTTCATCAGACGGCTCCACACGGCAATCTCACGGCGCGCACCCACACTACGCCACCACCACACAGCACAGTGAAATGCAGGTCAGGACCCCCTTTTCCCAACTCCCAACACCCAACACATTTCGTCCATTGCTTTCGCGCGCCCGTGACAGAACACGGTGATGGCCAGGCACGGCGCGCCAAACGCGCGTGGCACACAGCGCGGAGGGGACCGGCTGGACTGCACAACATTTGCCCGCCATAGTTTGCTTGTTTTAGCGGCCAGGCGGCGCAGGCAAACACATTTGTGGTTCAATCGTGGTGTGTGGGTCGGAGCGTGGAAGGGGTGGGGGGAGTAGATTAGAGGGGGGTTGAAGGAGGAAAGGGGGGGGGGTCACACGACTGAAGCTGGAGGTAATGCGGCCGCGGCGAACACCGCACGCGCGGAGTTCTCCGCACTGGGGCGAAAGTACCGCCGAGTATTTTGCATTTCATCCGCCTTTTCAAAGAGCGGCCGCCGCCACATGCAATTTTCATTTGCCATGGCTTTCTTCTTTTTATTTTTCTGTCTCGTTTTTTTTATCATCTCTCTCTTTCGCCCCACAAAATAAATGGGAAAAGCGATCGACACGTTGCTTTTACTACTACTTCTCTCATTTGGCTCGCACGGTTTTGCAGCAGCAGCAGGAGCCTTTTCGAAGGGCGTTGCCGCTCCTTTAGCAACGGCACCATCACTCTAAAAAAGGTCTCCGTCTCTCTCTCTCTCTCTCTTTCAGCATCCACCCTCAACCTTGTCCCTCATTACAGCGCGCCCACACCTGCCGGTCGCGGCGACCCAATCCTCGCGGAAACCAATCTGCGACACACAGGATGACCCCCTCCCCCCCACACACCTTCCTTTTCCCTCCAACACATACTGGGTATACGCTCTCATCTCTTCTTTAATTAAAAACTTTCCCCCCCGCGCGCATGAGGACAGCTTGGGTGCACGCGCGCCTACGGTCGCGCTAAAAGCCGCCGTCTGCCTGGACCACAACTCGCTTCCGCCCTTGGCGCCAGCGCTCTCCCCCTCGTCCCTACCTCAGCCGTCACCTGCAACGCACCCTTTCCCCCCTTCGCTTCACCTTCAAATCCGCATCGGTCGCGGCGAGCCCTCAAGTTCAAGTAACAACCACCACTTCCCCCTACCAAAGAAGAGTAAAAAAAAGGGGAGAGAGCAGAGGAATATGTG